AAAACCCGCCAACAATTCCTCGGGAAAAAAATATGTACATTATGCGCCGGAGTCAGGCGCACAACTTTTTATTTTGGACCATCTCCGAATCCTTGGTGTGGAAAACGGTAGAAGCGTTCAAAGGACGCTCCCTGCAAAATCCAAAACCCTGAGGAATGAGTTTGTACGAGTTTGGCATAAGTCCCTCGCTCGACGCCTCGCGAGGATGCGCGAGCGCGGGACTTTGTTAAGTTTACTGGTGCTCCCCTGAAGAGGGACTTGCGAATTACCAGCTAGTTTTGGTGCGCAAGCAGGGACCCAAAAGGCCCTGCTCTTCTACAGCCTTGTATTTTCTGTAGTTGATACAATATAGGATTCCTCAGGAGAGCTAAATCTTCTGAGAATCTAGATGAACAACTTGGGTTTTTTGACAAAGTTCATTGATCAATTATTAATCCTCTTGCCAGAGAGAGAAGGATGTGTTATTTAGGTCCTTAGTAAATTTTGTTTCACAAATACAGTCACCAAATTCCAAATTGTTATGGACTGGCCCTTGGGGGGAGTTCTGGTCAAGGGGTCGAATACGTTCAGTTCAAGTATCTGATGATGTATTACTTTTGCTAAAAAGTTTGGCCCAATCGAGAAAAAATAAAACAGAATGTAGACCCAGAATCCGCCGCAGCAGTCACAACGCAGCAGAGAGAAAATTTTTGGGGTGCTGTGGGCTGTGGTGTGAGCACCCATCCATCCCATCAATTTCCCAGCTGCCGCCAAAAAAATTCATATTCTCCAAATCCCGGTCGATCGCTTCCTTTTTTTCACTAAATTCAACTACGACACTCACTGCTTCTCGCATCCTGGAAACGTGTGCATCCATGGTGGACAATCAATTGATGATCTCTGTAAGAAAAAAGGTACACTTTATCACTTCAATTCCTCCCAATTCTCTCTTCGGAGCAATTCATTCAACTTACTGATTATCCCCAATATAATCTCTAGGTATCCTTCTCCCATACTTACCACCATACCGTCCCGAGTTGAACACTATCAAGTTTGGAGTCAATGTGCTGTACTTTGGTGTTTGGAGATCATAAGTTTTAGTCACTAGGTCAAATCCGGTCAAACGGATCATCTGTTGTGTGAAAGTTTTTACATGATTCCTCTTATGTTGATAACGAGCATTTTTTAAAAAATGAAATTAAGGAATGTTGTTGAAGCTTTTATGGAGCTCACAACTACTGTGCTCATCCAAAAAAAGGGCAAGTTGAATGAGATGTATCTTACATATCTTCAAACTATCCAGTGCCGAGCTCCGCTGCATAACAAAAGTCTGAGATTGAACATTCTATGAAAGATGAAGTGTGCCAGTTTTCAAGGTGATCGAGATCATCAATATCATTGACTGGTTATGAACAATATCAAAACCAGTCAATTCTCAATCGATTCGCCTATGACTCACAAGACAATCCTATGATTGATGGTCTATGAACGAGATCAATCTCTGTTTTCTTGAAGACATTCAAATCCAAACATCAACTGCTTTTGATCGGTAAAAACTAATCCCCCATCCTTTGTTCCTATGGAAGAGATTGTGGACAATCTCAGCTCTCTTATGTAATCTAGAGACTCATTTTTTTCATCAAGATCAAAATTGATCGATTTGCCCGTGATCTATGAAGAAGATTGAAAGGATTTCAATTTTTACACCAATTTTATCTAGAATTCATTGATCTACTTCCTACATGTACAATGACAATCTTCTCTAACGACAGTTCATCCTTTCTAGACAATCAAGCTTGTTAATGAGGAAAACAAAGTGATTGACCGGGATTTGGAGAATATGAATTTTTTTGGCGGCAGCTGGGAAATCGATGGGATGGATGGGTGCTCACACCACAGCCCACAGCACCCCAAAAATTTTCTCTCTGCTGCGTTGTGACTGCTGCGGCGGATTCTGGGTCTACATTCTGTTTTATTTTTTCTCGATCGGGCCAAACTTTTTAGCAAAAGTAATATCATAGAGATTGTCAGATAAGGAGAAAGAGCTAATACAAGTGACGTGTACAAGAGTATTAGTCTAACTATCTGTGACATGTCTCATAAGTGTCAACCACACCTTACACGAGTTGTAACTATAACACAAATCTTCCAATATTTCTCTCGTTCTTGGGAAAACTCAGAGCAAGATATGAAATCTGAATAGACAGATCTGATGAAAATGGGTCCCAGCAGTTGCATTTGAAATGTGCAAGGGGCGGACTGAGAGGAAGTGGGAGATTTTGAGGTTCGAAAAAACCTCCAAGCTAACTTTGAATCTTGAACCCCCCGTTGGCTCAGCAGGGAAGCCCGATAAGTCATGAGTGCCTCTCCAACAGAAGGACTTAATTAAGTCAGTGTCCTCTTTAACATCAGCCTGGTGCCCTTATTTGTTGTGAGATCCGAATGATTACATCTGATTGCATTACAGTAGCACCTTTTCTCCCGTTTCAAACTTCGCTCAAAAGGGTGGAAGTTTTACCTCGAACATGGTTTGATCAAGCTCCGGCGACGAATTAGACATCTTTCGATGAGCGTTATAAGCGAGTACTCAACCTTGCGTTTTGTGTTCTCGGAAGAGTTTTTCGAAGCGCTCTTGAGCCACTGGATGTACTACATGTTTAAAATGGAAACATTTATCAATATTTTGCTCATGCTCATCACAGCTACAAAGAGACCACAAGAACAAGAAACAAACCCGTCAAAAAACGATCGTGGAATTGGAAAAAATCGGCATATTGTGCGTGTTCCTTAGGTACCTCCAATTCTGATAAAGTCTTTTGTAAGGTGATAGTACTGAAGTCTGATGAAACAAACCGTTTGTATAAGTTGAGCACATGGGCAGACAAAAACTCTTGATTCTCGAGCTTCTCGTATAGTTGTAGAAGCTCGGCCTCTGCTTTTGGATTAAAGTAAGCAAGATATATCAACGCGTCCCAGCTTGCTGAACGGATGGCTCGTGAGTGTGGTGTATCGATCTTGGATCTAGTTGGGGCTTTCATTACTCGCGCCAAACTTTGTACCATCTCTTTCACGTTTAGCTGTTGTTCTCGACTTGTGACATGGGACCTAATATCAGAGTCGATAATCAGGTCTGGTTGTGTGGGATCTGCCTCCTGAAGGATTTTAGATATCTTTTCTGCTATTTTTTCGCCAATTTCCGAACTTGTATCGGCTGGGGTCCTCGAATTCGGCGAAGTTATTACTTCATGTACTTTGCCAAGCCGACTCAATGATGGTATACGAATTACCTCAGGACTGCCGTCACTGGCCCCCTGATGATCAGGCTTAATCCCTTCCCGCGCATCTTGTTTCGCCTGATTGACCGTAGACGTAGAAAGAACAGCTTGAGATTCAATGGCAGTCGAACTGGAGCCTTTGTCGGTTTCCTGCGCCTCTTCGGGGATCCAATCCTGTGCGATAATCTTTTGGATAGCTTTCAAGCGGTTCTCTAATTGAAGATGTCGCTTCGGAGTTTCCGGGTTTGCTTGGGCGCGCAAATTAGTCACAGCGTCGTCGATCGAGTTTTGCAAGGTTGTCTGGAAATACACGCGCACATCTACCACCACCTTGTCAGATTCTCTACTGTAGAAACAATTGATACCTGGATGGGAGAGCCTGGACGTACCTTCATCTTTCCTAAATCTAGGTTCAGAACCAAGTCCCTCATGGTCAAGCGTTTTTGGATCCCACGCTGTTAAGATTTATCCGACATTGTGTTTGCATACCACGAGAGATTAGCTCGTTCAGTATTTCAGTGGGATTCCTTTTAGTGTAAAGAAAAGTTGAAAAAGGTGTATGACTTGAACGCTGTGACTGACCGCACGTAATCACGTTCTCGGGTACTTCGAAAACTAAAAAGAGCATCGATCATGAAACACCAGGGAGTTCCGTCAGAAAAGTTTGTTATCATGATGATGTTTGTTGGCATAGATGTTTTGGTTCTGAACTTGCTTTTTGGTTCATCGATGATGGAATTTTTAGGAGGTAGAAATCCAGTCCAGATCACCTCGATGGAGTTTACTACTGTAAATAAAACGAGGGTGACAACAAGCCAAAGACAAAAAGATAACATGATTCCTTTCGGAGTAGAAGAGAGTGAGCAGAAAGTCTTAAGATGTGGAGTAGAACAGAGTGAGCAGAAAGTGTAAGATGTGCAAGAATCACGGAAATGGGGCGTTCATCAAGTCCTATCACTTGATTTTTTCACCTTGAAATTCACCATGATGGGGTAGCTGATGGGGTCAATATAGACTTCCGACGAGTATGATGAACTTTCTAGGTGGCAATTCTGTCCCAAACTTTTGAGTGTCTCAACAAACGGATTGGAACAACTTCAGAACCCAATATGATCACTTTAGACCGAAATCATCAAGTATCATCCACTGTTCTCTAAGCAGCCTGTCCTACCAAACCCCTTGTGTTGTTGTTTGCACAAGAAGCTTGTTGACCTTTCTACTGTGCTCTCTTGGGTGTAAATAGAGCATATTTCTTCATTGAATCATGAATGAACATTCCGGCACGTTTCATCGCCTCATGTTCAACCAAGGCACGTCGTGACTCGAAAGTTTGTTAGCTTCAGCTTGACCGCGTTAGTTCGGTTTCAAAGGGAGATGGACTGGAAATTTCTATCTTTGAATTTATGATCATCTTTCAAGTCCAAATACATCGGCACCTGCTGCACTTACAAATTTATCTAAAAACTTTTTTTACAAATCATATCTTACCAACTGCTACTTCTACTATAGGAAAAGTAGTCGTAGGACAAAAGAAACGTACAAAGAATTTAATTGGTTTGAGCAAAAGAGAATCCACATCTCAATTATTAGATTCGACTTTTCCTCTTTTGGGGCATTTCCTGAATTGTTATGTTGCAATGAGTTGAGATTTTCAACCAAAAGGTTGGTTTAGATTTCAAAGATGGAAGAGTGTGATGAGCAAAATAAAGTAGTGGTAAGTAAGTGACGGACTTGTACTTGTGTTGGATCAGTGAGTCTGACTGATCTGATTGGCAAAAGATGAATTGGCAAGTCTGAGAGGTGGCCAGACGGGTCTTATGAGTGGACCAGCAAGTCAGTGGTTTGTAAGCTTGCAGACTTGTCTGGCAGGTCAAAGACTTGGAGAGAAAAAATCACAGTAGACTTGTCTGGCATGTCACCAAGTCTGCCTGCAAGAGTAGGGTGAGACTCCAATGAGAGATACCTGTTTTTTGTTGGGGTCATACAGTAGGATCAGGTAGCCAAAGGTGCATATAAAAGATCAAGGTTGTAATGTGCATGCCATGGTTAATTGAATAGTTTAATTGGTGATATAGACTATGACACCAATCATCATTTGGTAGCTCAGCTACATTTCCTAGCTCCACATGATACCAATCAATCAGTGAGATCAATGTTGACACATATTCATTAAGAATAAGTATGTCGATTTTGGATTGTACAACTCACAAAGTTTTATGTTACTACAGTTATAGGCCAGGTTGGCTTATGGATAGGTAGCTGAATTGGGTCAATCATGATGACCATGCTTTAACCCAAGTGTAGTTGGGAAGCACAATCCTCAGCTCAGAGACATTCACAATGCATGACCTCGCATCAATGGAATAATGTTGGCACATGTGCAACATTTTTTTAGTTAGCTCCTCTAGTGTGTGCCTTGATTTGATTGATCAAACTTTTTGATCAAATCTCAAGTTGAGCAATACATGCCTCTCAATCTACAAGATGACATACTTCTTTTGTTTATAGAAGTCTTCAAAGGATAATCCATAATTCATTGAGTAACACTCTGTTGGGTCATATCTATTTTGTGATGTTAGAGAGGATGTGCTTTATTTTTTTAAAAAAATCAATGAAGTGAGAACTTTTGATTGCTGGGCTTGAGGGCCAAAGGAGGTGATTTTTTACATTGGATCAGTGTTGCTAGGTCCTTGATTTACTTACGATCAAGAAAGACACCAAAAACTGATTAGTCTCAAATCTGTTCCAGTTTGAGCTTAATCAATTTGTTTGAGGTTCATAAATCTTCTGGTGAAAGTTGATCTGTTTACAACTCAATTGAGAGCCCTTTGCCAAGAGCTCTACAAACCCAATATTTTCAATTCAAATTTTGGACTTTAAGTTTTTTCTCTCTATTTCATCATATAAGGATTCAAGAATGTCCTCACCATACACACCAGCAAATGAATATCTCTTGAGACAATGGATTCATTTGAAAGCATCAAACTAAATGAGATCAAACTCCAAGCAGAATGTGAAGTGATTGGTCAAGGTGGCTTTATTTCAACAGGTCAACTTACTTGAGTAAGTCAAGTGAGATAAAATGGAATTCATACAATTTGATGGTGTCTAATTCTGATATAAGATATGAAAATGAAAGTTAGCAAAACAATTTGATGAATCTTAATAAGCATGAGATCCAATTGATGAGATGAATTCAGAACTTCAAATCATTTACGGGGTACAAAGTGGAAGCCGGGCACGTGCCCGGCTTTGTGCCCAGATTTTTTTTGGCAGTAAATTCAAATTCTGGGCCCGGACTTTTGCCAAACTTAACAAAGTCCCACTTGTTTTGAGCTGTACTGGCCAGCTCAAACGAGGGACTTACATGTAATGTCCAAAAAATGGTGTGAGATCTGTCGGAGCTTTTCCCCAAAATCTACTTGCCTTATAAAACTTTTTTTTGCCATTCTAACCTTTCCTCAGCTGAAAATGAAAAATGTGCACCATACTTTTGGCTACAACCCAACACTTTCAGAGTCGTGATACCTTGATTGGTTCTGAAAATAGATTGGAAAGCTGGTATTTCAAGTCTACACCAAAGTTCAAATTTCAGCCTTGGATCAGGCAAAATTACTCGATTTTTGGCTTCAAGCTGTGGAACACTTATATAAATATCTACACAACCACTCACATTATTAAGAAGCCAAGAGTACCAGGCTATAGAGAATCTCAAGAGCTACGATTTTTGTTTTGGGGCTAGGGAAATTTGAAGATGTAAAAAAAAGTTTTATAAGGCACATAGATTTTGGGGAAAAGCCCCGACAGATCTCACGCCATTTTTTGGACATTATGCATAAGTCCCTTGTTTGAGCTGGCCAGTACAGCTCAAAACAAGTGGGACTTTGTTAAGTTTGGACTTTTGCCCAGAAAATCAAAATTTACTGCCAAAATAACCCATTCCTCAGTTAGTGAGCTGATGGGTTTGGAGTTTGTTTCTTGAGAAGTTTATTTCTTCTCGAGAACTCTGTTTGTTTAGAGATCTTATCTCTCGGCTATGCAAGAACACCACCCAGGGTATCCTTTTACCTCGTGGTCAAAGGATACGCATGTGGGGGTAGTGGCGGAGCCCTACCTCCTGCCTTCCTTTGGTTCATCTGAACCAAGGCTGATAGGTAGGTGCTTCACACCATCATCCCGCCCACCCTCCGAGTGTTCCCCGTCTTTTCTTGCCTGTAGCTCTAGGACTCCCAAATCTAGGCGTCTCGGGTCTAGCGCCTAGCCTCCTAGAGCTACCCCTCCACGCTGGAACCAGTCGCCAAGCTCACCTTTCTGAGAAAACTTTATAATCCCTCATTCATCAATACCCCCGAGCTCTCCTTCCCAAAAACTTTGTGAATAGAACCTTAACTTTGCTGTTTTTTATACCTGTGTTCTACAGGGATATTCCTTGCAGCGACAACCCTACATGGATTTACAACATTCCAATTTCAATTTCTCGCCTAATGCCAAATCATGCTCTGTGGAGTTTATCTATGTTTTCTATCAAACATATTCCATGTATCTTACCTACGCTCATCTCTGGAATCTATTCTTTTTCAAACCCTTTACCTTTAAATGCCATCGATCGCTCTCAGGAAAGCAATGTATCCTGTC